CCCTCCCTCCCTGCTCCTCCTACACCCTGCACGGCTCTGATCTGGCTCCTTCCTGCGATTCTGTCCTGACTCTGTGCCCCTGGCTTGGAGTTTTGTGAGGGGGACTCTGTGTCCCCCACCCCCTGTCGTAATCAGGACCAAGCTCATCCCCGGGAAGGGAGCTGTGTGCTGAGTTTAGGGACAGGGACCTATGCACTGGGCCGTTTGCCAAGGCCTGAGCCAGCTGGCCTGCCCTGCGTTGGTTTTAGTTGGTTCCTAGAACCTGCTGGGGTCACCGGCTAAGCATCAGCAGCTGGGGTTGGAGTCACGACCACGGATCGGGTGGGGGCCTGGGAGGAGCTGCTGGTATTTGCTGTCAGGTGGCGGCTCCGGGTGACCTGTTTCTTCTCCCCAACGGCAGGGGCTCCCCTCCGACATCCAGTGCAAGCAGCTCCAGCCCCACCAATGACGTGGCCAAGCAGCCAGCCAGCCGCGAGCTGCCTGCGGGTCGGCTGGGTGCCACAGGGCCCACGGGGGTACAGTACACACCCCACTCCCACCAGTTCCCCCGCACACGGAAGATGTTCGACAAGGGCCCCGACCAGGTACACACTGTGTTGTGTGGCGCATGGCTTTAAACACTGGTTCCCGTGTGTGGAGGTGCTGAGGGCTCTGCTCCTCACACCTAATCTTTGGGGCACTCATACCTCGTGGGGGGCACAGGGGCCCAGTCTGAGTGGCAGCCCCCGTACCAGGTAGATGAGGCCTGTGGGGATCGGTGACCCGGAGCCAATGGGCCTATCCACCTGGCTCCAAACACAGACAGCCCAGGCTCCCCGACCAGCCCCAGGGGGATGCAGCTCCCTGAGTGTGGACTCAGGTCGCCCTTCCTAGCGCCGGCGCCCAGAGCCTCGCCCAGACCCTCAGCACCCCGGCATCACTAGGACACAGCAGCCAGCCCTGCCCTTGTCTGCAGTCTAAGCCACTTCTAGTGCATGGAGAGGTGTGACTCACTCGTCTGTTCCCTCTCCTCCCCTTACTCCCGGAAGACCACGGACGACCCGGATGACACTGGACACAAGAGCTTCATCTCGGCCACGATGCAGACAGGCTTCTGCGACTGGAGCGCCCGGTACTTTGCCCAGCCCGTCATGAAGGTACCGCTCGCTGCTAGCCCTGGGGCGAAGGGCACGCTCCTTGAGGCTCCCTCCTCCCCAGGAATCTCCCCTCCAGCCTGGGGCATCCGAACCCCTCAGCTACCGGCTGATGGCTGGGACCCAACTGGGTGTGCTGACCGGGAGCCTCAGCTGGCTGTTCACTGTGGCTCCCACTGTCCCAGGCAAAGCCACGCTGCCATGTCCCTGAGCCGTGACCCAAGCAGGTGGCCAGGGCTGCCTAGGCCCTGTGGTGCCAGCCGCCCACACTGCCCCCTGAAACTCGCGTCCCACTGCATTGCGACTGTTCAAGGGTGACACCAGCACTGTCCCGGGAGCTGGTGCTCACAGTGGGGATAAAGCAGCGGAAGGAACAAACCCCAGTTACCGTTGCGTCTGCTCAGAAGGAAGAGAAGGCAGGAAGAAAGGAGGCCTGCCATTGCCGAGGCTGCCTGTGAACTGCCTCTGCCCTGATTGGCACGGTCACTGCAGGCTTTTCAGCTCCCTCCTGGTGAAGATGGCTCATGGCTGTCCCCAGGCCTCGCTGTGTGGCTCTGTGCTTTGAGGACTAATCTTGCTGATATTTATAAAAACCCATCCTCTGGGGTGATTCTGCTGCCTCCGGCTTGTTCCACGAGAGACTCCTCTCAGGTTTAATTCCACCAGTCGCAATGGGAAATGCTCCTGTTGCTGCAGATTGGAGCCCATAGTGGGGTGGCGGGTGGGCCGGGCCCTGCTTTGTCGGAGCAGAATCGGTCCCGTCCTTCACAGGGAGCTGCAGGGCCCAGCTTCACTCTCCTGGGCTCCAGCACCTGCCCAGAAACCTCCCCTCCTCCCTCTCACAGGTCATCGGGAGTGACGCTGGGGCTTGTTCGTAATCATGCGTCAGGCTCGCGTCTAAGCCATTACAGGAGAGTGTTTGGACTCTATCACACTTTCCGCCTGCTGCCGCTTTCCCCAGAGGGACATTGGTCTTTGTCACTAAAATCACAAAATAATCGCCGCCAGTCCCCGAGGCAGGTAGTGGTTCTGATCTTCGAGCCCTTTGAGGAGAAGGGAAGGAGAGCCCTCTTCCACCTCTTACCCAAACCTGACTTTCCCAGAAAGCGGTTGGCTGTGGGTCAGCGCCTCGCACAGCCATTCCCCTGGCCCACAGCCCATTGCTCAGACGCTGACTTGGGGAAGTAGTCAGTCAGGGATGATCTGTGTGCAGTTTACAACAGCAAAGCAGGGTCCACCGAGATGCCAGAGGGAGAGAGTTACACGCCGAGAAACATTTAACACAGGGTTACTGGAGCTGTTTAAAAATTAGTATCAGGAAATGCTTCTGGTAAGTATTTTTTTAAAAGAGATAAAGGCAGGACACAGGCTGCCTACAAAACGGTCACAGCTATGATGTGACGTCGCTGTGTGGCCTCCATTGTGAATGTGACACACACACATCTGTGCCCAGAAACAAGACTGGAACGAGACCGGTCCTGACAGTGGGTCTCGAATGGCCGGATGGTGGTGGGCCTGAGTGTGCTTTTTCCTGGCATGTTTCTGTCTTCCCTACATTTTCTACACAAAGGACCTTTATGTCAGAAAAAAGGTATTTTAAGGAGCAAGGGGCCTGAGACTGAGTGTATCAGCAGACCAGAGAAGAACCACAGGGTGTCCCCATAGCCACAGTGCGAGGACTGGACAGGGCTCAGCAGCCACTCAGGATAAAACGTGCACAGGCTGGGGACGGACGGAACCCACCCCCGCACAGGGCACCTGAAACCCAGTCAGCATCACAGTCACTGGAAAGTCAGTCTTTTTCTCTAGAATCAGGAATAAGCTCATCTCCCTTCCCAGCCAACGTCCCGTGGGCCGGCCTGACGGCAGCAGGCAAGAAAGGAGATAGGGTGCAGGTGGAGGGGGTGGGAGTTAGGGTGCAGGTGGAGGGGGTGGGAGTTAGGGTGCAGGTGGAGGGGGTCAGGTACAGCGACCTCCGGTCAGACAGTATCACTGTGGATGGAAATCCCAAATAATCTGCAGAACGCTGCTGGAGTGAGCGAGCGGCGTAGGATTGCAGGGTACAGGGTTGTGGTAGAGAAATCAGGTGTATTCCTACACGAAATGAAACAGAACATTCAGACATAAACCAAAAGGAAAGCGCCTCAAGATCCAGGTGCTGAGGGACCCAAGACACTGGTGAGAGACATCGTGGAGGCCACGCCCGCGGGCTGCAGACACAGCAGTGCCTCCTAAAGTGATGTGCGGGTCGGTACAGCCCACGCCAGGCCCAGCAGCCTTTTAGAAGTCAACAAGCCTGTTCTCAAATTATGGGGAAAATCAGAGGAACCGCAAATAACCCAGCGAGCCTGACAGGTCGTGGTTGGAGGACGCGCCCGGTCTCGAGAGGCTCGCTGCGAAGCTGAGGGAGTCGGGGCCCGTGGACATCAGGATGAAACGCTCTCGGCCAGCAGGGCGGCGGGCCCGGGAGCAGGTCTAGCGCGCACAGCCCACCGACTTCCTACAGAGTCAAAGACAGCTTGTCCCAGTGAGAAGCCAGAACCATGAAACTTCCAGAAGAAAATCCGGTGGCCCGGGGTTAGGCGATGGTTTCTTTAATAAGATACAAAAGGCACAAGCCCTATGAGGAAAAAGTGAAAACAGAAGCTACAGGCAGACGGAAGACACGGTTGTGAGGCACGCGTCTGAAGTTTGCCGACAGGGACGTGCCAGTGACCGCAGGAGGCCCCCTGCTCGGCCGTCACATGGCTGACGTCGGCGGTCAACCCTGAGCGCTGGCTTGCGTCCTGGCGCCAGATCACACTTGCGGTGGAAACGGAGCTTGGTCGGAACCGGCACCGCCCCCTGCCCTCGAGCCCATCCCCCCTTTGCCGACCTCGGCTTCCCCACCCTGACGGCCACGGGCTTGTTTTGAATTCTGTCTGAGCCCCTTAACCTTCTTAACCCAGAGGTGTTGACGGTAAGACTCCGCTCCGAGTCACAGACCACATCCCCCCACGGGCGCAGTGCTGCGTCCCCATGGGCGGCTCAGATCGTAATCTGTTTCTGAGCAGAGCCCAGGGGTGTCGGGAATCGCCCGGCTCTTCCCCACTCTCCAGCCTTGGGGAGCCGGCGGCCACTGCACCCTCGGCCGTATTAGGTGAAGCACAGCTCCTGAAAAGGACCCAGGGTCCCCTCAGGGCCCACTGCCTCCCAAGTGCCCAGGGCAGCCCTGCTCTGGTCACTGCCCTCGGTGGCTCTACCCAGATGCCAGAGAAGGAGCAGAGGCAGACCCTCTGAGCACCAGCCCTTCTCCATCTGGGCTCTGTCCCCACCTGAGGCCCCAGACCAGCCAGCCAGAGGACCGGGTTCTTCAGCATGTGGGGAAATAACAGTTTTTAACTGCTGAACCTAATCTGTGGGTTTTGCTGCAGATCCCAGAAGAGCACGACCTGGAGAGTCAGATCCGCAAGGAGCGGGAGTGGAGGTTTCTGCGCAACAGCTGTGTCAGGAGGCAGGCGCAGCAGCTCATCCAGAAGGGTGAGGGCAGGGGCTTTGAGGTGCAGGGCGGGGCCAGATGGCCCACAGGAAAGGAAGGCTGAGCTTTTCCTCCAGGTCATGCTGCCGGAAGGGGGGCTGGGGAGCCAGTGTGGGGAGTGCCTCACCCCAAGACCCACAGAGCCCCAGGGGTTCTCGCCTGTCTGACCCACAGCCTCTCCCACAAGCGCAGCTCCTGTGTTTGACGTTTTCGGGGGGAGGAGCCAGCCCTCCCCAGGCCAGGGCCCCTGGGTGTGAGTCCATGTTGAGCTAAGGCCGCCATGCCCTCCTCTGCTCAGGCATCACAAGGCTGGACGACCAGATTTTCCTGAACAGGAATCCAGGTGTCCCCTCTGTGGTCAAGTTCCACCCCTTCACCCCGTGTGTGGCCGTGGCTGACAAGGACAGCATCTGGTGAGCTCGTGGGGACAGGCAGCCCCTGGTGTGAGCTGACATCCATCTCACGGTCCTGAGGAGTCCCCGCCTGTGGCTGTGGTGAAAGTGCTGCCCTGAAGTTGGGCCCAGACACCTCCCTCTGTAACCCGGAGCGGATCCTGGTCACACGGCAGTTCGGGGTGGAGTTACTTTGAGGAATCTCCACGCTGCTCCCACCATTCCCACCGGCGGTGCCCCAGGGTTCCCAATTCACCACATCCCCCCACATGTCTCCGTTTTGCCGATGACGACCGACCTGGGAGATGTGAGGCGGTATCCCCAGGGGTCTCATGGCCTGTCCCTCTCTCGTCCCCTAGTTTCTGGGACTGGGAGAAAGGGGAGAAGCTGGACTATTTCCACAACGGGAACCCCCGGTACACGCGGGTCACCGCCATGGAGTACCTGAATGGCCAGGACTGCTCGCTGCTGCTCACAGCCACAGGTGAGGGGCGCACACCGCGGGGATTTAAACCCACCACACAGGTGGCAGGGCCCGTGCAAGACCTCAGCATGCACCTGCACAGAATTTACTTCCACCCCGACCGTTTCCTCTGGCAAAGGGGACTGTCCTACATCACAGTGAAGGCTGCTGTCACTAAGGAGTTAGGAGGTTTCCGAGGGAAAGGGCTTCCCTCACCAGTAGTGGGGAGAGCAGATGACCAGTACCAGTTGGTGTCCCAGGGACTGTGTCCACCTCTGGGACCCGGCTCATCCCTGCCTGGGAGAGGCACCTGCTGCCTCGGTCCCCGCAACCTTCGTGAAGCCCACATGGCAAGGTTGAGGGCAACGGGCCTGCGTTCTCACTACCTTCTCTTCTCTCACCAAGACGATGGCGCCATCAGAGTCTGGAAGAATTTCGCTGATTTGGAAAAGAATCCAGAAATGGTGACCGCCTGGCAGGGGCTCTCGGACATGCTGCCCACAACCCGAGGTGGGTCCTCCTCAGGGATAAAAGGGGGGCTGGGGGACCTGCAGGCCATGATTTCACGTCGGATTCCCCCGTCTCCACAAAAGAGCTTCTACTTGGGAGACATGGCTGTGCAGGTGGCCGTCTGGCCAACCTCTGACCTGCCTGGGTGTGTCACTGGCCTGCATGCACCTGTCCGCCCCTCGTCCTTGGCTGGAAGGGAGGGTTGCTGGGCAAAGCTTTGCCACTGACAGGGCTGGGGGACTTGCATTCTGTGCTCTTTGCACCCAAGTTAATTTCCTCTGTGGGGCGAGTGCACGGTGGTCGCCGGCCGTGTGCTTGTGTCTGGGCGTGGAGGCCACATGCGCCCACCTGGCCTGCCCTGTGCTGAGGGTGTGCAGGCGGAGCTGAGCGGGGGTGGCTGCAGCCCCACGGGGACAGTTCTGCACGCTGCCTGTCGGGGCCTGAGCTGGGGTGAGAGGTGCCGGCCCCCTGCCGTCCTCCTGGGAGCCAGGTCAGGGGCCGCAGGGCCCCATGGTTCAGCTCACAGGCTTCCAGTCAGGGTCAGGCTGTCAGGGTCCGGATTCCCAGAGGCCTGGGCAGCGGAGTCCTTTTCTCCCTTCCCGAGATCCCAGAGCCGCTGCTGCTGCTGCCAACAGCCGTGAACTCCCCTCTGCTCCTTCACTGGCCTGGGGCTTCCACCCATCTGTCCACCTCCACGTGGCCTCATCTGTGGCCTGTCCTTGTGCAGCCGTGGTCTTCATAGTGGTGTCTGTGTGGCTCCTTCTCTCCTCCCACCTGGTCCAAGCACCTGTCCTGGGGTCTCCACCCTCAGAGGCGACTTAAGAGGGAGGGACTTCCGGCCACCAGCACACACGGCTCCAGGGTGGACAACTCTTGTGTTTTTTCAGAAACAAACTAGTCATCGATTGCTCCCCAGCCCTCCACACAGCCATTCCCTGTGGCCCAGGGCCCTCCAGGCTGGGCTGTGCACTGATGGGGTGATGGGGCAGCAATCTTGGGGCCCCCAGTCTCTTCCTCGCCTTGTTTCTGGAACCTGCCACCCCTGCTCTGCCTCCTGGCGCAGCTGCCGGGCCAGCTTCTGCCAATTTGGCTGCACTAATGTGTGTGTTTCTGGCCTCTAACCTCCCAAGCTGCCCACATGTCTCCCCACCCTCCAGGCTCCCTCAGCCATGCGGTGTTTCCAAGCACCCGGGCACTTGGAAGTTGGTGCCATGTTAGGCCACACTTCTCAGTGACCACAGCACCTCGGACTTCCTGTCTAGAGACAAACTAGGTCTCAAAACCCTGCTGGTTGAGTTTGGACATTTGTGGGGTAAACACTCGCCCAGGTCAGCAGGCGCGGGGAGGTCTGCCCTGTCTGGGTGAAGCTGCTGCTGCCCAGCTGCTCCCGCCTGTGCCTCCTTCCCTTTCGTCTGCCTGGTGCTCTGAGCCTTTGGGTCAGTTTGCTCTGCCCGGCCAGCTCGCCTTCCATCAGACCCACATCCTGTCTCCTCGCAGGTCTGGCCCGAAAGGTCTCCATCTATCTTGACCACAGTAAGCAGGGAGGTGAGTGCCTTCCCTGCCCCATGACTGCCCAGGGCCGGAGCAGGAGCTGCCCCTCCTCTGCTGGCGGCTGTCCCCACGCCTGCAGCGCCCGCGGGGCTGGCAGAGGGTTAGAGCTGTGGTTCTCCTTCGTCCATCCGTGCAGACCCGTCCAATACAAGGATGTCAGCCAGTGAGCGGAGATCTTAGAGCCGAGGAGGGAGCCTCCCTAGTGGCCACCCTCCTGGGCCTCCTTACTCCACAGGGGGGCCGAGCCTGGCCGGCTCCGAATCTCACCCCCTCCCCATTCTGCATTGCCCCTCGTGGGCTCCTGCTGCCTTCATGGAGAGTCCGGTGCCCTCCTCCCTCTCCAAGCACGGAGAACACGCAGTTTAGATCTGCTGGCGGGGGCATTGCGGCCGCCGCCTCAGAGTCCTGCGCAGGGCAGTCACTAGGGAGCTCGCTTCCATTTCATCAGAGCGGACACTCCTGATCCAGCTTGTTTTCCCGCCAAAACCTTCAAAAAGAACCTTTTCCAGAAGATTCTTAACACCGAGGCTCTTGCAGCATCTGTTTCCCTGAGAAACCCACCCGTGGGTTTGACTGTTACCAGCGCCGTGCGCAGCTGCCCCCAATGCCCAGCAATAGTGCGTCAACAAACCCGTGCTCGGCTCCCGAAACGGCCGCCCTGGAAACAGGCCTCGATGAGAGGGGCGCGCGTATCGAAAGCAGGGAATGGCTGTGGGGGCGCCGGCTCGGGCAGGAGGCCGGCGGTGCTCTGAGGAGGACGCGGGCGAGGGGCACCCAGGAGAAAGGGCCCGGGCAGTGCTGCGGGGCGGTGACTGCGGCACGGCCCGCACAGTGTTCTTGGTTCCCAGGCCGGCGTCACACTGCTGCCTCGTTACCTTCGCAACTTTGTCGACGCTCCTCCGGGATAGATACAGTGTTGCCTGTTCTAAGCCCGGGACTGGCGCGGGGCGGTGCAGCTCTGGCTCCACGTTAAAGCCGCTTCGTTTACATCACTTTTTACAGAGCGAGTCCTTTTTCTCTCTGTCTCACCATGTAGGTAAATTATAAAAAGGTGGGGCCCTCCCAGCCCGGCAACAAAGGTGACACTTTTCTAATCCTCACCTGAGGGTATGTTTTATTGATTTTTAGACAAAGAGGAAGGGAGAGGGAGAGAAACATCATCATTGCCTCCCAGACACACCCGACCGGGACTGAACCTGCGCCCTTTGGGTACGTGTCACAGTGCTCCCACCAGCCGAGCCCCTGCCCGGGGCGGCCGTGTGCCCCCTGACCTGGGATCTGCAGCGTCCGGGTTGAGGTGTGACCCGCCTTCCCGTGACTTTTCCTCCTCGCCTGTTTAGTTGCTCAGTCTCTCGGGAGGCAGGCGCAGCGTGGGGCTGGTGGGGTGCCGCGTGTCCCTGGAAGCCAGGAACAGGAAGTTCCTGCGGGCATTGTGGCCTTACATATGAGCATTTTGTGAATAACTCCTCCAGTAAAAAGTTCTAAATGAAGGAAGAATGGTTAGAAAAGAGAAACTGAAGGTCAACATGACCTCTACCCCTGAGCTCCAGAGAGGAAGCTGAGAGGACAGGTGGCGGCCGTGACGGTGACCAGAGGGCTTCTTGGAGAAAGGGTGGGGTCCGTGCCTCTGAAAACCCAGAGAACCAGAGGGCATCTTTTGTGGTTGAGGCCTGGGGCGGGGCGGGGAGGGGGGCAACACAAGGCCAACAGGCCGTGTTGACCTTTCAGCTGGTTGGTGGACATTGGAGCCAGTGCCACACTGTGGGATCGCAGTGGGGCCCCAGGGCAAGCTCCTTCCCACCGTGACAGAGCCCAGGACGGGTCAGAGCCGCCCAGGAGCAACGGATGGGTTGCCCGGCACCCGTGTGTGAGCATGAAATCTCCCTGGGCCTTTGGCCCTTTATTGACCATCAGTCACAGGGAGCAGCTAGGAGTGGAGAGGGCAGTGACCTCCACAGAGCGGTGGTGGTGGCAGCCGGGCCCCCGCGGGTCAGGCACCCTGAGCTGGGAGGAGGAGCTGAGTGGGCAGGGCAGTAGCCACGTCCCCTTGGTGGGCAACAGGACCAGCCAAGCTACAGACCCAGGAGCAGGAGCAGGCAGGGCCCCTTGGGGCAGCGGGCTGGGTGCAGCACAGCCCTGTGTGCCTGGGTGTCTCGATCTGAGAGGTGGCCCTCTGCAGATGGACCCTCCCTGTCTTGGGTGCCCTCCACCTTCGGGAAGGTCGTCCCCAGACAGAGTGGGAAAGGGAAGCTTTTACTGGGTCTAAAATTTTACTTCTCAAAAAAAAAAAAAAGCAAAAATGGCAAACGTTAGAAACTGTTCTATTTGGGAGGTGGGTACAAGGATTTCTGTTGTGTTCTTTCTGTGTGTTTAAAACATTCATAGCTAAACACTTAAAGTTAAGCTTAAAGTTAAGTCTTATTCTGAGTCCCTCCCGTGTGGTCTTAGTGCTATAGACACCTGCTGGCCCGTCCAGTCCCAGTGGGAAAGGCCTCTCACCCCACCTCGGTGCCCGGCCTCTGGAGGTGGCAGCTGCAGGGCCCCTGCTTATTGTGGGAACTGCGGTCCCCGAGCTCCCGCATGGCCCAGAGGGGCACCCATCTCCATGCCCGATGCCCATCTAAGGTCCCCAGACCTGCCTGTTGAACCAGAGACCGGTGTCGTGGACAGTCCTGGGAGGGCGCTGTCCTTCTGGCAGCTGCCTGGGCGTGGCAGGGATCTGGAGACGCCTCCAAACCATTGCCCCATCCAGGACTCGGGGTGCCCTGGGAGCCCCATTTCTAGCTTGTGTGGGTCTGGGTCCTTGATGTCGGCTGGTGGAGGGTCAGCCTAGGATGGGCTCCCGCAGTGAGGCTGCTGTCCATCTGTCCCCCCAGGAGCTGGAATGGTGGTGGACTGGGAGCAGGAGACCGGCCTCCTCATGAGTTCAGGGGACGTGCGGATCGTCCGGATCTGGGACACGGACCGTGAGATGAAGGTGCAGGTAACTGCTCAGTGCCCCCCAGCTGTCTACACCCTCCTCATGGAAAACCAAGACCAAGAGTCACTGAGCAGCTGTGAGACGACAGTTACCCAGGGTAGGGGGTGGACGAGTGGGGCCTGGGTGCTGGGAGCCGTGTAGCCAACCCCAGAGCCTGTAGAAACCTGCTGGCGGCTGGATGCACATTGGTCGTGATGGTGACCCTTCCCGGCAGTGTGGCTGAGCCTGAGCAGACCCTGCACTGACCCTGCTGTTCCCAAATGTTAACCGTCTGTGGGGGCCAGGGACTGTCGGAGAGCAATGGGACGAAAACATCCTAAATTAGAATGGTTAACTGTTGGACTGTGTGCTTCTCAAAGTACCTTCTATTTCTAATTCCAATAAGGAGAGAGGAGTAGGTTGTGTTGCCTAAGACCTCCTGGAAGAATGGCAGCCCAGGGCAGAGCCCCAGCCACTTGCAAAGCCCTCTGGTTAGACAAGAACCTGGTGGGAAGGAAGGCTCCGCTCGTGCCCGGGATCTGATGTAGGAAGGAGGCCTGGGGGAGGGGGAGTTGCAGCCGTGGCAGCCGTGGCCCCTCTGCCTGTCCCACAGTGACGCCGTGGGCCATCATGCTGCGGCCATTCTGAGGATGTGCTGGCTGGGCGAGCCCACCCCCTCCCCACACAGCTAGCGGCCGGATGCCTTGTCACTCACAGGAGCCAGTGCTCTGAGCCCCCTGATCGGCGAGGAAGTGGGGCTGGATCCCAGGCCTTTCCTGCCTTTTAAGCCCCTATGACTGCCATTCCCCAGCCTGCGGGGTCCCCCCCCATGTGCCAAGAGCGCAGGGCCTCTAGGCTGAAGAACGTCTCCCCTGTCAAGGCCACGTTTTCTCACCTGCTCCTTCCTGCTGAGTGTTCCTCACTCCTGCCTTTGTCCAGCATTTACAGCCGCAGGACGAACAGCGGGCAGATGGTTTATGGGCTCAGAGCTCCCACTAGACCCTCCCCGGACTCATTAGTTTTCAGCAGGAGCTGATGAGGGTTCCTACTGTCCAGCGTGCATCGTCTTTCTTTTCAGGAAAGAGGGAGGCGTTGGAAAGTTTAATTGGCACCAAAGTCCGTTGTTACCAGCTCATTTGCAGGCAGCAGCCCTGGGGATGGTCTCGGGTGTGCCCTCCCAGCTGGGGCTTTGGTGCGGCCTGGCCTGTCATTTCAGGCGCAGGGGACCTGACTCAACCCCGGGGCCCTGCAGGTCCCTCAGGCTCCTCTGGCCTCTGACAGCGTCCCTGGCAGAGAACAGGCACGGTTAGTCCCCTGGCCCAGGCGGCAGGCGCTCAGGCCCCCGTGGAGGCCTCACCAGCTCTCTGTGCTTGGTCCTAGGATATCCCCACGGGCGCGGACAGCTGTGTGACAAGCCTGGCCTGTGACTCCCACCGGTCCCTCATCGTGGCTGGCCTGGGCGACGGCTCCGTCCGTGTCTATGACAGGAGGATGGCCCTCAGCGAATGGTAACTGGGCCACACCTCCTCTCTTGCCGGCACTCCCCATGGAGGCCTCCCTCCCTGTGAGCTGTGGACAAACCATGTGGAACTCCGGGGCAGGGATTCTGGCCAGGCGCTGCCTCCCTGAGCTCAGTTTCCCACCCAAGCTGCGCCAGGCGGGGAGGGAGCTGGAGGGCAGGTGATGGCACCTGTGGGGACTGAGGAGCTGGTGTCCAGCTTTTCTCACTTGCCTGAAGCCCTGGGGCTGGTAGGTGACAGCACCATTACACCCCGGGTCCGGCTCCCCCACCTGCCCGATGGGGCTCTGAGCCCGTGTCCCTTGCTCGTCCCTGCAGCCGCGTCATGACGTACCGGGAGCACACGGCCTGGGTGGTGAAGGCCTGCCTGCAGAAGCGTCCTGAGGGCCACATCGTGAGCGTGAGGTGATATGTGCTGAGCAGCTGCCAGACAGTTGCTGTGGAACATTGTTTACCTGTTTAAAATGCATCCTTGGTATTGAACATCTGTAGTGGTGGTGCCGGGGGCGAGTTCCGGGCAGGGGCCGCCTCGGTCCCCCCGCTGGAGGACTTGGGCGGCAGGAGGACTGCATAGCGGGTGCAGGGGGGTGGGTGGGAGGCGCTCCCCTTAGGCACAGGGCATCCACCAGCGCATGACTGTGGGAGCCCCTGCAGTCGTCCTCCCATAAATCATTTCTGCTGCCAGTAAATTCTGAGCTGAGAGCAGCGAATATTTATTTGCCTGTTAAAGGGACAGCAAAACATAATTTACTGTCACAGCCACCGCTTCTTCAAGGAGCTGCTGTGTCCCTCGTTTGTGACACAAGATCAGAAGGTGACTCCTGGAGCGAAGCCCGTCAGGGCCGAGGGCAGGAGAGAGGCCTCCTGGGGCGTGTGCGGCCTCACAGGCCTCCCCTCCCGTGGTCCCTGCTGCATGAAATCTAATCTCAGGCACAGGAAATGAGACAAATAAGTCACATCTCTCCCATCTCTGCCCTGTGACGGGGCCTTGGCTGGCTCCCGTGGTGGGTGGTGGTCCTGGAAGCCAGGTTAGTGGGTAGGCCTCACAGGCACTCGGGCTCCCAGAGCCCAGGGCTGATGTGCCGGGACTCATGGCACCGTGACCCCTCTCGGCAGCGTGAATGGAGATGTGCGCTTCTTTGACCCTCGGATGCCAGAGTCTGTGAACGTGCTACAGATCGTGAAGGGGCTCACAGCCCTCGACATCCACCCCCAGGCCAACCTGATCGCGTGGTAGGTGCCCACCCCCTCTGCAGGCCTTTCCTGGCCCTGGCCCTGGAGGCTGGACCCAGCTGTCCCTGTAGACCCCCCTCCTGACCCCTGCAGGAGGATCTGGGCCTGCCCCTCCCCCACCCCCAGGAGAAGGGTGCTGACCAGCCCTCTGGTCTGTCTGCTCGTCTGCAGCGGCTCCATGAACCAGTTCACCGCCGTCTATAGTGGCAGCGGGGAGCTCATCAACAGCATCAAGTACTACGACGGCTTCATGGGCCAGCGTGTCGGTGCCATCAGCTGCTTGGCCTTCCACCCGTACTGGGTCTGTGTCCCTGTGCCTGGGGGGGAGGGCTGGGGGCTTGGGGGCCAGCAGCAGCGAGCGGATGGGCTGCAGCGAGGCCCCCCACACCACCTGCCCTGGGCCTCCACCCTCCCCTGTCCAGGGCCATGGCACCAGACTGCCCTCAGTCCTGTCACTCAGGGAACATGTAAAACAGCCCCGCCCTCCACATCACCTGTGGCCCCTGCACTAATGTCACCCTGGAGAGATTTCCATGAGAAGTCTGGGGAACCACAGTCTGTTGTATTTATAGTGAGATTCTACCCGCCTGCCTTTGGGCCACCTGGGTTCCATGGGAGCCCAGCGTGCAGCTGTGCCGAAATGCACGACATTCGATCCCCATAGCCATCCCTGGGGGGCAGTCCTGGGAGAGGCTCAGGGACTGGGTAGCTTGTAGGCTCCGGTGCTGGAGGGTGTGTAGGGGCTCTGCTGAAAGCCCAGCTGAGGGTCCCGTCGGTCCTACACCTGCCTCTTGGGTGTAGGGGGGCATCCCCCAGGGCCACTCCCCTGCTCACTCGCTCTCCACTCTCCCCTTGCAGCCTCACCTGGCCGTGGGCAGCAATGACTACTACATGTCCGTGTACTCCGTGGAGAAGCGTGTCAGATAGCGGCCCCGCCCGCCAGGCCGTGTGTACATAGTGGGCCCTCCACGGCCCGGCAACTCTGATCCTGACCTGGCCACTGAGGGCTCCCGGAGGCCCCCGCTGTCTGTCTGTCCTTGCTGTCACACCTGGAGCCCAGGGAAGGGACTCTGGTGGAGCCCTGTGGTGTGAGGGTCGCTTCTCTGCTGAGACACAACTTCTAGGCCGAGGACCAGTCACTGTCCATACCTTCCTGTCTCGTTTTCCTGCCAAGAGTTTTAAAGAGGGAAACACTCATTTTATTTTCCAAGTGATCCAAGCATGAGCCCCACAGAGCTCCGAGGTGGACACCGGCTTCTCCAGGGCTCGGCCACCTGGCGGGTCGCTGGGCTGCCACTGCCTGGCCATGAGCAAGCACCAGTGCAGCCCAGCCTGGCCGAGTCCTCCCGCTTGTGCACACAGGGACTGGGAACAGTTCCAAGCAGGTGGGAGAGGCTGGGGGTTCGAGACCGAGCACAGAGGAGATGAAGGAGCCGGCACCCGGGCCTCTGGCTAACCCACTGGGGCTCACTCCCCTCCCCCCCAACCCCCTGCAATGCAGCCACCTTCCTGGCACGGGCGCAGCCTTGGATTTGAGCTTGGGCCCTGTCACCACAGATCCTTTAGCAGGAGGGGCCTGTGGCCTTGGATGGGCAGGCAGGTCTCTGGTGACTCAGCCACTGCCGAGGCCACGGCTTGTTTCCGTGGAAGGGATGCTCCTGGCAGGTGCAGTGACAGTGCCCAGGCCTGTGATCTCCCCGCCTGTGTATGCACACATGTCACACACAACACACACGTGCACATGGGAGGCACAGTTGGAGCCCCGAGAGCATCTGGTTAGACAACGTCCAGTCTGCAGGCCCCATCCCCACACAGTGCAGCCGCCACACGGGAGTTCCTTGCAGATTGCGTTAGCTCGTGTCTGTGTGTGTGTACCCATGTATGCAGACATGTATGTGTGATTGTGCAGGCATCTGTGCAAGTGGTGTGTGTGGATGCGCATGTCTGTGTGTGCGAGTGCACAGGTGTGTGCCTGCATGTGCGAGTGTGCTGGTGTGTGCAAACACACGTGTCTGTGCATGTGCGTGTGTGGGTGTGCATGTGCATAGTAGGGAAGCCGTGGCGACAGCTGAGCCAGGAAGGACCACGGAGGATGTGCTGAGCAATCACAGACAGCACTTGGAAAACAAAACAACCACAATGATGATATTTGAAAAGCATTTTTTCCATTTTCCTTGGGAATCAGGATTATTCATATAGAGAACCGAGGAGGCTTAATTAATTCTGCCAGAAAGAGGCCAATAATAGTGTGAATGTGAGTGAGCGGTGACGAGAGCTTAAAGGCCCTTGCACTGCAGAAACTGGCTCTGCCTCAGCCAAGGGCGTGTGCGGGGACAGAGCCCCCCGGCAGTACAGCCTGGGAGCCCTGGGCCAGTCTCCGTGGGACTGGACGGGGCGGGATGGGCTGGGCCGGGCGGCGGTCCCGCCCATGGGCCCTGCTTGTCCCCTCCAGGAGAAGGCTCTGGGACAGAATTCCCACTCTGGCTCTGTGACTTTCTGCCATGTTCTGGGTGAGAGCCACGCGAGGTCAGGAAGCCACAGAGTCTCGCTCCCCACACGGTGCCTGTCAGCTCTGTGAGGTGCTCCTGGCACCAGACCTTCCAGAAGCTGAGCTCCACCCATAGACACTGAGGGCGTGTCTGATTCGTGGATCAGTTCCCCTCCAGATCCCAGGCTTACGTGCGGTTCTGTTTGTTTTGAGACAAAACTGTGACCTGTCCCAGCGTGGCCACTGCCCTCTGTGGGGTGACCATGGCCACCATGAGAGGGTGTGCCCAGGTTGAATGCGAAAATTCAATCATGAAGTTGACCCAGGCTCCGGGGCCTGACCTAAAGGTTCATTTATCTCTATTTATTTTACCAGAACGAGAATTGGAAAGACTTTGACAAACATGGGATTGTAATGTGGATGGGAGAGCGGTGGTGGACAATAAACGCTAATGAATAAGTGGGCCACGCTGGCGGCTTGGTCTGTGAAAACAGCACATCGGCCACGTGAACGTGAGCAGTTCCACGCTTGGGGGGGGTACTGAAGGTGGATCAGCAGGCCCACAGGGTGTGTGGGAAGCCAGGGGTGCTCGGTCACTTCACACTTTCTGGCTGTGGCTTCCTGCAGTCGGCTTGGGGACAGGCTCTTGTCACCCCCCTGGGACAGGGAACAGGCTCTGGCATCCAGACCCCAAGGGGCTGGGCAGCACCCCAGGAAGTGGTTGTGCCCACCAGCTGCAAAAGGGGTGAGAAGTGAAGCTGGCATCAGGGTTGGATGCCCTGGGGTGCGATGCACGGACAAGCCTCCTGGGGCGTGGGGTCACCATCGCTGCCTCCGCACCCAGTGAGGGGCTTGTCTGCCTCCTGGAGAAGCCCCCGACCGCTGTGCCTGGCCCGTGTGGCTGAGGGGAGGTGTTGTGGGTGCTTGGTGTGGCTCTTTGTCCCTGAAGAGGTGCCAGCAACGTGGTGACACGGGAGCCTGGCCACCAGCTAAGGCAGGAAAGGACTTGGGGAGGCTCCCACCAGGGTCCTCGGAATGGACAGGAGATATCCCCGACGAGGGGTGAGGGGCAGCCAATGGCAGGGCATGTGGGGGCCAGAGGGGCAGGGCAGGCTGTGACCAGGGTGCGGGTCCGGGGGTACTCAGGAGGAAGGGGCCAGGACGGGAAAGGCGTGGCCCCCGGCCCGGTCCCAGATCAGGGAGCCCTGGCTGCGCTGGGTGACGGGCCAGCAGCCCGCACCGGGCCCTGGGGCCTGGGCTCTGCAGGAAGCCCCCTGGGGAGCGGGCATCCTGCGGGGAGTCCTCCAGCCCACAGCCACGGGCCAGCTTGGGAGAGGGTCCCCCGGGCAGTCACACCTGGTGATCACTGACCCCTGGGCCGCGAAGCTGCTTCTGAGCCCCGAGTTTGGGGGCGTCGTTCCCCTGTGCGTGACGCTGCATAACAGCCCAAACCCAGCAGCTCACAGCTAGAGGGGCCGCGTGCCCGCCGGCCGTCCTGCAGTGCCACCGCGTGGCCACCGCGGGGGTCGCCACGGCCCGACCCCGCGCAGCCTGGTGCCCCCTGGGGCCTGAGCGAGGCGGTGTGACCCCCAGACCAGCGCTGCCTCTCCCAGGCCTTGTCTCCTGAGCTCTCGAGCCCCCTGAAGATGTGTCTCAGCCCTTAACCCCCTGCCGCCCGGGTCCCGCCAGGGGCGCTGGCAGGCGGGCCACCCCGCAGGTTATGTGGAGTGTGGCCCCCGCCCCAATTCATGCGGAGTCCTACCCCCAGCACCTCAGTGTCCCCTTATTTGGAGAGGTCCTCATAGAGGCCATCAAGTTAAAATACGGTCATTGTGCGGGCCCTTGCCTGTGACTGTCCTCATGAGAGGGGGGCACGTGGACAGACCCACAGGGAGGGGGCCCAAGAAGACGGAGGCAGGACAGGGCGGTGCGAACCCACAGCGGGAGGGGACACGGGCCGGGCCTGCCGACGGGACCCGACGCGGAGCTTTAGTGGAGAGTCGTGACCCGCCGCCCAGGGCCCGGCCGAGAGGCGGGCAGAGGGTCCCCTTTGGTGGGGTCCAAGTGCGAGGTCCCCCGTCCTGTGCCCCTCGGTGCCTAGACCATGGCGAGTTATCTCCTGCTGCGGAGCCACGCAACCTGCAGCGAGGCGACGAGGCAGCGCCGGGTCCCTGCGGCCCGAGCTGGTGGCCAGCAGGGGGCGCTGGGCGGCGGCTCCTCCTTCGGGCCTCTGCGGGCTGCTGGGTCCTCGACCTGGCGGCTCCCAAGACACTGGCCGTGTGGCCTTTCGCGCCGGCCTCGGAGGTCACGCTGCGCGGTGCACCTGCGAGGGCCCCCTAAGTAGGTCGGAACGCTTCGCCCCCGTCTACAGAGGCGGGGCCTTCTGGGAACGCGCCCGGAGCGGCGCCCCCGCCACCTCCCGGCCCCAGCGCGGTTCTCCGTGGC